TAGATATCCATCAAGACGATCCAATTGATCGGTTACGCATCGAGTGTTTGCATCTGCTGTAATCCGTCTACACCTGTCTTCATTTTTCGTTCACTCACACAATTTTGCAAATACATACATACAGATATATCGTTTGCCGATTCTTGGACCGTTCATTGTTATTTTTTTAATATCATATTTGTAAGCATACTGCGATGCAAAAATATACACACTTTTTTTTGTTCGTTGATTGCTCTTCTCTTCTTCCTTTTTGGTTTGTGTGGTTTCCTTTTGTAAAAACCAGACATTTAAATAACCATTATTCTTCTGCATCGGCCAAGACACGAATCCACATTTAGACACACGGGATTCACCTTTCCGTACACTTTTTTAAACGAGCGAAATTGTCCAATTATGGTTTGAAAGAAATGTATTGTATAACTTTTAAAAGAAAAACATTCTAAGCGATCAATATTCGGTTCGTTTTGCTCATACCGCAGCATGTTCACGTATGAAATTTTTTTTTATAAAATTAGCCTGAAAAAAATCTTCAGGTGTGTGAACGATATGACATGAACCATGAAATAATTGAAAAACCATGAACGTACGCAACAGCACATTGAATCAAAGATGCAGCTCACTCGCATAAAGTATAGAATGCATAAATTTTATGTTCATTCATATAGAACAGAAATTCCGCAGTACTTAATTGAATGAACCGGCTGTTTCGAAGAGACCACGCATACCTGCTAATTTGTTTGTGTCACTTCTAATGTGGAGTTATACTTTCATCGTACTTAAACGTCATATACTTATAACGATAAGAAGTTTATTTTTATTTTCTATCTGGAACATTTTATTTCCAATACATACTTCGCCAATAGTCGAAATTAATTTTGAAACGCATAACATTTCAGATTATCACATCGAAAATCGCGCGAAAATGTTTATATACTTCATGCCGTATGGGCGTCTCCACTATAAATATAGAAGTGTATGATTTTTAAGTACTGTGTGGGACTACTGACTTAGAGTTGATTTTTTACAATTGGAACAAAACAAAAAATAGATAACCATGATGAAATTCAAGTGATTTGGAGGCCACCAGGCTGGAATTGATTTTTTATTTGAATATGTGTAGACACATGACAGTAAATCAATACAATAATTATATTACTGTGTATTTGAAATGAAAATAAAACAAATATCCGAATAAAATGCAAACAGTATTGGTTGGTAGCAGACCATATACTGAGCATAGATATTTATCCGAGATCTTTTGTGAGTATCTGATAATTAATGTAACACTCCATGCATTATTGCTCATTCTAAACGAACTGTGTACAAGACTTGAATCGTTTGACTTAAACACAATTCGTTTAAAGGAGTAATAATGCACAGATCGACGTTCATGCTTACACACTAACTCATTGTTTTCCTCGTTTGTCTGCGATGTACGAGCGTATTGTGTTTAAGGTACACACGCTAATTCGAGTCTCACACAATTTTCGTTTAGAAGGAGCAATAATGCATGGACTGCTGCATTAATTATCAGATTCTCACAAAATATCTCGGATAAATATCTATGCTCAGTATATGGTCTGGTTGGTAGTTTTACAATCAAGTGGAACCAAACATTTCAACGCTTCATTTCGAATATTTAGAATAACTGAAAATCACTGATAATGGTATCAATAAATAAAATAATGCTTTACACAATTTCTCATTCGGTTATTTAGCTGCTTTTTACCTATTGTATTATTTTGTTGGTGTTTCCTATTTTAAATCAAACCATTCTGTTATTATTGCACCAATTGTTGATGTGAAGTAGTATAGTGCCAATAAGAATAAGAAACATGTGATCAGCAAATTGTTCATCAATTGTTGTTAAAATTCCGCAATTATATTGGAGAAATAAACATCCAAATATTGATATTTGATATTAAGCGGCAATCGATTCGATTTCGATAAATGTGCTTTGAAGCCAAGTAATCAACAGCAATAAAAAGGCGCACGTTTATAAATTCTACAACACCAAACCGATATCGTTTGATTATTATATTCGGTGAATCATTAATCGATAAGTATACATTTATATCATATAATCGAATTTTATCGACAAACCTGCAATTTCAAATATTTTGCGTAGACAAATCCAATTTAAAGGCGTAAAAGAGAAGAAAAACATCTCTTTATTGCTGTCATCGACAATCGTCTCTCTCTCTCTGTTTACTCAAAATTCATTATTATTATTGATATATATATAGTTTCTTTAAAATGTCATGAATAATATGAAAAATGTCGTTGGCATTTAATAATACGATAGTTATAATGCCGTTTGTAATTAATTACAATGAAACATTTCATATTGCAAGCGATAAACAAAGGATTGTCATGTGTTGCACGGTACATTGTTAATAAAAAAAAATACATACGCAGTTTCAATTAATTTGTGCGCAATTTTCCGAACAAAGGTTTATTTACTTTTTGGTTTGTTGTTGTGTGTTGCAAACAATGTCCGAATGCGCTTTGAAAAGGAAGATGAACTCGACAACCAACAACAAAAAATTGCAAGAGTCACACATGACTCAATTAAAATCAATTTTTTGCGGCTTTTTCTCGGCATATTTTTCATTAATTTAATGCCACTTAAGGAATAGAGTTATAAATAACCGAACCAACTATTCGTTATTAACCACTTTTTCGACTGGAATGAATCATAAGAGAACAACAGATAGACAACGAGAACGATAAAACATATGCTTTGCGCTCACTTATTTGCAATTTGTTGGACAAGTTTTTTTTTTTTCGTTTGGCATGTTACTATAGTAGCAATAGCTGATGGTAAGCAACAACACACAATTTGTTGAGAAACGATTTATGTCCTTCGATGTTTTTGTATACAATTCTATTAAATACATGCAAAATTAGTGAGACATTTGTATAAGCCGTTGTGCGGCATCCACTATTAAGCGTTTTCATATCAAACGAAAAACTATTGATAGTTTTCAATCTTTTGGCATTGATTGCATTTAAAGCGATTCTTTGGACTAATCGAAATACTTGAAGCGCGTTGTCAACGACTCAGAGGCAAACAGAAAGGAAATGATTTCCTATTAAAAACAAAATCATCATACATGAGACATGTGTATAATGTATATATATCTTAAATTACTCGTGTTTCAGGTCGCACGTTTCTTTTTTACATTCCAACAGGAATGAATAACATGTCACATATCCTGTTTGTGTGTGGGAACCAAATGAAAGTTTTTTTCTTTCTCTTATTTAACATTTTATGCACCATGTATTAAACACAATAGAATGCTGCAGAAACCGGATCAAGTTCCTATTATAAATAAAGTAAAAAAAGAAAATCACATTGATATTCATGCAAAACGGGCATATTTGTCATCACAATCAATAAATTTATAAATAGTTGATGTAAAATACGAACATAGAGTTAAGAACAGCCCGATCCCCGTTCACCCGCTTGCTCTCTAACAGCGTATATATTTCCTTTTTTTTTTTTATTAAATTGGTCAGTGACAGAGGTTTTGCGGGGTATGATGGAATGTATGACTGCAAGGCATATGGCCACATTGAGTGTTGCACGTGCGTTTTCTCTCTTCGTCGCGCTGTTGTCGTTTGTTGAACGTTCTCATATTCAATTAATCCATTTGACTGTCGACTCATCGCACATGGCGACGACAACGATTAAAGTAAATTTGTATGGCCACGGGCGTTGAACAACAGCAGCAATAACGGCAGCTGGGCAGTTGTGCACTGTTCTTTAAATGGCATCCCATCTGAAAGCATATGTTTCGATGCCAATTGTACTAGTTGATCTCACATTTATACGCTCTTTTTTTTGCACTACGCAGAATTCAGAATTACCTCTACTTCTTCGTCGACGAAGTGTAATGAAATCTAAAATTAGCAAACGATGTGTGTAGAAAGAACTCGACCTTCAGCAAATAAATATTTCTGTGAAATTTATTTTTAAAATTTCGATGATAATTTGAAAATGGTGTTTTTAATGCGAATTGACTCTCTTTATTCTGTATTAGAAAGAAGTGATACTGTTTAAGAGTTTGACCACGTGATTATAGGATTTGACTAATAATGACATAATCAATGGTTGCAAATGCTTGCCACCATACGTAAGCTTTTTTTTTCATTGCACCATGCGTCTTTAACACCATGTTAATCATAGTCCGACAAATCGATCATCGGAATTCAAGCCATTATCGTTCAACCGTCAACAATGATAACACGTAATTAAACATTAAAAATTTAACATTTGAATAATGAGTTCTTTATGAGTAAAAAAAATATATATATGACAAATTTTCAAGTTTTTGAATTACGCCAAGATTCTGATGTCAAGTGCTTACATGCGCGTGTTAACCGTTTCTCAGTTTTTTTTTTCTCACTCTTTTAAAAACTATTCACGAACATATTTATTTCTCATTTACGATTGACGTAGAAAATTGTGTGTGTGATTTGCTAAAATGAAACGCTAGGCACGCACTTGAATGATTATTTTAAGCGTGAAACGGAAAAACGACAACGTCTTACTGACACACATTTGTTTTCAGTTTTGCGCGTACAAGCACCACAAAATCAGAGCAGATAGAACTGAAAACAAAACGAAAATCGAATCGATGTCTTCTATAAGAGACAATGATGATATTCGATAAATTCGCATATTATTCCGAAAAGCTCACATATCTCCGTTAATTCATCGAAAGTCGAAATCAAATCGGTTTTGATTGGTGCATTTGCACAGACTTCTTCTAGTCTAGTCGATTCGTATAAATGAAACAAAAATGATTGTTATGAAATACATATATAGGATTTCTGTATCGATATTTCTTTTCCAGACTGATGATATTACATACTTGGAATTCGTAGCAATCAGAGTGCTTCTTTTCTCATTCTGTTCTGTTTCTTTTTTTATTTTACTTTTGAATTTGTTGCCGACATTATTAATTAAAATGTTCATTTCTTTTTTATTACAGGGCTGTGACGGATCCACGCGATGGACGGCGTGTTGCATTAAAAAAACTTCCAAATGTGTTTCAGTCGCTGGTATCCTCCAAACGAGTATTTCGTGAATTGAAAATGCTATGCTTTTTCAAACATGAGAATGTAAGTATTGTGAAAAAGGAAAAAAAAACATATTGAATTTTTGAAATACTTTGCCAACACGCAAATAAGTCGTAAAAAATTGACATCCATGTATAGAGGTGAACACAGTGTGTTCAACACACACACTTTTCGTTCACATCGACCACATGATGATATAGAATTTTTTGTAAAAATGAGCATGCTGTTTGAGGATAAATAAAAATGTGCTCACGGTCATCCACATATATCTAGAATTTTAATACTGATATGCAATTGACACGTGATTTAATGTTGCTACTGTAAAGATTGTCTTAAAATGAAAGAATTCCATCGTTCAATAAAATTCACAACGTTCAACGGATTGATTTTAAAGTGCACTTGTGTGTAGCTTCAATCGCTGTTTTCCTTAAGGAAATTGTCTTTTATCGTGTTCTTGTATTTGTTGATTATTTACGGTCACGTTTTCTCTTAGCAAGTAATGTCATCCGAAACAACTTACAATACAAAATACGAAGACGCATTGTGTGCTAGGGGTTTTTATCTCAATCAAAACACTGTGAATATTGCGTATATTTTGCTTATATTCACTGCGAATATTCGCAAAATACGTACATTCAATGCATGATTCGTAAAATATGCATAGTATATGTACCATCGAATAATATATATTCGCGAACAGATAAATTCCCCTAGATTGTGTGTATATTCCATACAATGTTGCTAGCTAGCTATCTATATCAGCTATTGCCATAGGGATATATAAATAGCTGCTATTTAACGCATCTCTTTGCTCGGACGCTGCGTATACTCGACATAACATTGGTGTCATTGTTATAAAATGATTTAAAACGTTAAAAATGTCAAATAATGAGACCATTGTTATGTCCAGCTTTCACACCGTCCGAGCAAAGAGATGCGTTAAATAGCAGCTATTTATATATACCTATAGCAATAGCTGATATAAATAGCTAGCTAGCAACATTGTATGGTATATTCACAATGGTTCAATCTAAACTCATTCAAACCAATTCCCAAGAATAAATGAAGCTTTAATTTTTCATTCAGTTTTTAAACATATTCTCTGTATTCTACATCAGATCTGGTTAAATTTGTTCATCTTGATTTCAGTTTCTCTATCGCTATGACATAGAATGTCTCGATTGTCGAAAACACAAACAAAAATGAAAAAAAAACGAAATTGATTTTCTCCGACACCAGAAAACTAGCGTAGAGATGACAATCACGTCATTGCATTCAGTTGCCAAACATTCATCATTGGTTTCGGAGTAATTGTTGCCGTTATTGACTCGCTCTATAAAACGCGCTTTGATTCGGTTCACTAAACTTTTTCATTGTGTTTCTCTCTATGTCCTTCCGTACTATCAGCGTCGATTGAAAAGATTTTAAAGTGCACTTGATGGCCAAATCGAAAAAATGGTTAGATAATCATAAAAATTGTTGAACAATGTAAAAGTAATGTTAAAAAGGTTTCGTCCCTCAAAAACTACCGGAAATTGCACTTATCGATCACCGAAAACCGATTTGATTGCGAAATTTTTTGTGATTTATTTTATCAAACCATCAAATAGTTCGCTTTTACTTGATTTTTTGATGCAAAAGTCATAATAAGTTTGTTTATTGTTTTTCTTAATTTTTATTTAAAAAAAATCATTGCAATTTTTTATTGCAGGTCCTTTCAGCTCTTGATATTCTACAGCCACCTCATCTGGACTTTTTCCAAGAAATGTAAGTGTCAAATGCAATGAAATTAAAAGATTAATTAAATGGAATGAAAATAATATATGTTTTCTGTTTTGTTTTTTTTTTTTAAATCATAGTTATGTGATAACTGAATTACTTCAGTCAGATTTACACAAAATTATTGTGTCACCTCAACATTTGTCCGCCGATCACATTAAAGTGTTTCTCTATCAAATTTTGCGTGGTCTCAAATATTTGCATTCGGCGCGAATACTTCACAGAGACATAAAACCCGGCAATCTACTGGTGAACAGTAATTGCGTTTTGAAGGTAAACTTTTTTTCAATTTCTTGAAGTCAAAGGTTAATTTTATGCAATGGTACTAATACGAAAAAAAAATTCTTCATTTAGATATGTGACTTTGGTCTGGCCCGAGTTGAAGAACCGGATCAATCAAAACATATGACTCAGGAAGTTGTCACACAATATTACCGTAGCCCGGAAATTTTAATGGGCTCAAGACATTATTCGGCATCAGTTGATGTATGGTCAGTTGGATGTATATTTGGCGAATTGTTGGGACGACGAATTTTATTTCAAGCTCAAAGTCCGGTACAACAATTGGAACTAATTACCGAATTGCTAGGAACACCGTCATTGGAAGATATGAGACATGCATGCGAAGGTGCACGATCCCATATGCTGCGACGGGCTCCAAAGCCGCCCTCTCTCTCCGCTCTCTACACACTTAGTTCGCACGCAACACATGAAGCCGTTCATTTGTTGTGTCAGATGTTGGTGTTTGACCCGGTACGTATATAAGTTTCTAGATCGACTTATAGAGATAAGATGAAAGTCTTGATTTGATGAGTATTTATTACGAAAACATTCGACATTGAGCATAATGATGTTTTAATTTCAATACACACACACACACACAGGATAAAAGAATATCAGTTATTGATGCATTGGCCCATCCATATCTTGACGAGGGCCGTTTACGATACCATTCCTGCATGTGCAAATGTTGTTTTACCACATCGTCAGGACTGCGACAATATACAAATGATTTCGAACCGGCAGCTGCCCAACCTTTTGATGATTTGTGGGAACGTAAACTTACATCGACACAACAAGTTAAAGGTAAGTTTTTTTTTTAAAACAAAATTCTTTCGAATTGCGTGATCAAACTAATTGGTGCTTGTTTTTGCATAAATTCTGTTACTGAGATCAACGAATCACAGTACATGAAACACGCATTTTATCAAAGTGATCAAAATTAATGAATAAAATTAAAAAGACCTCAAATATGAGCAATTTACTTAGACGATATTTTAAAGCGATGCCAAAAATATTTCGTTTGAAAATATTAATAAATTGCACCAATTTGAGTTTTTAAGTCGAATGTAAATGATATTTATTTTTAATATGTAAACATTTTCAGAGGAAATGCATAAATTCATCGCTGAGCAATTACAAACTGGCCGCGTGCCATTATGCATAAATCCCCAATCTGCAGCGTTTAAAAGTTTTGCCAGGTAATTTCCATACAATTATTATTCATTTTCCTCCTCCTCCTTCTTCTTCTTTACTCTATTTAAACGAATAAATGGTAACATTTCATAAAACTAATACCTTAACTGCCATCACACAAAAAAAAACTACTTTTTCTCATCTTAGTAAAATCTTAATATGAAAAACCAAATTTAAATCGAAATCACCAGGACAATTAACAAGAGAAAAAAAAAACAAATTTCCAAAAATGGAACTTACATTTTGTCGATGAACTTGATTTAACGCTCAACGCTAATTCCTAACCCAAATCCATCAATAAAACTATATAGAATTTGCATAAATATTTTAAATGTCATCATTTTCATTCAATGTGTTATAGAGATGAAGTGTTCAAATGTTGATCAACATCCGAAAGCATCAGCCCAAACAAAAATCCGTGAATTGAACAAAATCAAACTCAAAAAACAGTAAACGAATTTCACTAAACACAACACAAACAATACACACACAAAAAAATCAACATCATTGTGACTGTGTCTGTGTTTGAACATTAAAAATAAATTGCAGTCGAAATCAAACAGAAAAAAAAAAACAAAACAAATGAAAGTTTTAAACCAAAATAAAGAGAAAAGAAAACAATTAGATTTATTCTTCAATCAACGTTCGACAAGCAACCAACTTCACCCAGGCGCCTAGGTGTGTCTTGAATCGATTTCTTTCTTTTTTTTTATATTTTTTTTATCTAATCACATTTTCTACTCTTTTCAAAATGGCCATTTTATTTATAATTATATTAAAAATCTTTCCTTTTTTTAACAAAAAAAAAAAAAACCACTTTAAATCATGATTCGTTCTCTATATTTTTTTTTTATATTTATTTATTTTTTTATTCATGAGGTTCCCTTCATATTAATTTCTTTTTGTTTAATTCTTGTGAATATACCAATTGTTTTTTTTTTGGGAAAATAACAAAAACACCCAGTGATTTCGTATACAAACACAAAATTCGTTTAGATTCCTTATTAATAAATATATTCAATCTCATATATTTCTTTGTGTGTAAAATTTCGATAGTCTTTTGTTTTGGTTTTTAATGTGTATTTTTAAGTTGCTGCCGCTATTCATTTTTTTTTTTTTGTTTTCTTCATTGCATAAAAACTTTCATTTTCGCAATTTGATTTTTCAAACGCAATAGAACTTTTCAAAATTCTATGCTGTTCCATTTACTCTTTTTTCTCGTTCTTTTTTTCTTTCTGTCTCTCTTTCACACACACACATACATACCCACCACCCATACACATACCTAAATACAAGAAAAATCGTGTGAACAGAGATATACAAACGTTTTTTTCTTTTTCATTCAGTTAATCAAAATTATGAAAAACCGTTTTCCCTTTCGGCCAAAAGTGTACATATATTTGATTCATTGAGAATAAAAGTTTCGGTGCTTTCAAACTTATGCCCGTTGTTAAATTTCCCATTAAAAGATATTTTGAGAGGTAAGTTCGACAAAGTTGTCGAAAATACTTTTAAACTATTTTCTATCGGGAAGTTACTAAAGAGAAGAAAAAACAAACATAAGTTCGGAAAACACCGTTTCGCCTATTCGCATTTTAATTCTCAAAACCATTTATTTAAAACGAATGGTAAATATCCCATTAATCAACTAAAAACTTGAATTGAGAAGAAAAAGAATTAATATATCAATATTTTTTCCATAAAAATGTTTAACAAAGAAACAAATTGCTTGAAAAGGTTTTGGTCCCTTTGAAAAAAATTCAATGTTGTTTATTTTCATTCAATGTATACATTTTTGTCTATTATAAAATACAACAAAAAATTTTTTTGTAGAAATATTTTGTGTCTATATTTTTGAAACTCAATTTTAAACCACCAAAAAAATACACACATTCGATATCATGCAAGTGGAAGCAACAAAGTTTTAGACTGGACGAATTTTACTATGATTGTACTTAAGCTATTTATTTTTGAACACACTCTGAATTATTCACACATAACGCGTTTCTTTTGCCTATTTCTCAAGAAATGTGATCTCTTAAAATCGGTGATGACATTGATATATTTTATTGCTGTTGTTTTTTTCGTTTTTTTTTTTAATCAAAAAAATCCATGCTCGGTTTATTTTATTACAACATGCAGTCAAATTTTTTCTTTTGAAAAAGTCGGCTTTAATTTTCGCTATATTTTGTATATTGGTCAAATATTGAAGACATCATAAGTGACTGTCAATCTGGGTGCAACATTCGCAAAGCACCAATATGATTGAACAGTCGCAAATTGCGACTCGCAATGCATTGTCAAATATAGTTTTTCAACCAAACGACTTCACTTTCAATAGATTTATTATTCCGAATCGTCGTTATTCTGTTGTATTCTGAATATTCCATGATGTTCTACACATTGAGAAGAGCGTTAAGTTGGCCCATAAGATTTATTAAGAGAGAATGTAGTTATTACAAGCAAAACCAAAAAAAAAAAAAATAACAAAACATTTCTTCTTTTTGTATTTTTGTGTTATAAACTGTTTTTGCACGTGTGTAAATTTTAGCATTGTATCATTTTGTCTGTAGAATAGACGTAGAAATTGAAAATACTCACCCTCATTTCAATCGCAAAAATCCATTATGCAACGGATTCAAATTGACGCATATATCATGAGTAATATAATTAAAGATTAAAAACATTTACATGAGAAATCATCATCAAATAGTGCTACAATATTCGTATTATTTTAAAAAAAACATATATTTTTTTCGTTGTTCTTCTTGATTTTTTTTATATACAACAAATTTCTGTTATTTTTTTTTTCTTTTTTTTTCCCCAAATTTTGCTGATTTTCTTTTGCAGAACCAAACAAAATAATTGTTGTTTTGGTAAGCCATCATTCGTCTCGTTTAAGAAGATGGCATTAAAAGTTTTATTAGTTCCGGTTGTCTTTTTGTACGCCGCCTAATTCACGTAGAGAAAATCTTAATACCGATCAAATAGAAGAAAAATAAAGCTCAAATTCTCACAAGAAAGTTGTTCCTCCCCTTCTACTTCCCCCTCTACATGAAAAATGAAAAATGAATCAAAAAAGTGTAAAAAAGAGAAAGAAAATACAATATTACTTAGGAATGAATGTGTGTGTGTGCGTTTTACATTCGTTTGCCTGTGCTTCGCACGTTCACAGGGGTACAGGTCAGTTGTTGTCAATATTTTGTTTGTACGTTTAGAATTAGGTATTAGAAACGGTAGAATTTCATTCAGTTTAAAAATATGAGATGCGCGAAATATTTCACAAACGTCGCCAATGAATTAAAATCCATATTTTATTAAAACATTGTTGAACTTCTTACGCAAAAAAAAAACTGCAATTCAATCAAACACATATTTTCGTTAAATCGTGCATATATACACATAAATATATATATATCTGTAGCATGTCTCTAACTTAATTTTACTTTTTTTGATGAATAAAAGCATTCCATCTTGAAATAATTTAACTGCTTGATAAGCGCTTTTTTTTATATAAAACGATAAGAGTAAATACGATGTGTATCATTATATTGATCAGTAAGACTTTTCACCAATTTTACCAGTCAAAGTTTTGTTGATCAATATCATTATGCACACTGTAGTTAAATCACACAAAATTTTAATCTTTCATATTATATATTTTTGTAATTTTTCCCGTTTTACTTTTTTTTATTTACATGCTTTTTCTTTAATTTTTTTTTTCGTTATTTCAATTTATTTGTACATATGTTCATTTACATGTAGAAATTTGATCAAAATTTAAATTTTTATTGCACATAAAATAATTGGAATTCTTTTTTGATGAAACTCTATAATTTTGAATATTTTCTGCTCTTTTCTTTTTTCCCAAAACGTTTTTTTTTTCTTTTGGAAATAACTAAATAGTTCGAATGTTGCACATCCATCTGAATTGCCGCCTTCGCCTCATCAGTGGGAATGACCAAACCAATGGAAATGACAGCATTATCGTAGAGCACAAGCAGCCTAGGAATAAAAAACATTCTCTCGGCAAATAATGACATCAAAAACATCAACAAATGCAACATCAAAAAATAAATAAACTATATAAAATATATACATTCATATATTTTAAAGTGACTACCAAATGAACAATATTGAAGAAGAAGAGAAAGAAAAAAAAAACATTTAAAAAAATTTGAAATTGAATTCATCATGAGAAAAAGCGAAAATTGGAGCTGCCAAAAAGTACATATAAACCAGTATTTGCAGGAAAGAGAGAGAAAAAAATTACATATATACGCATATATACGCTAAAACGCAGCACTGAGTTATCTATTGAATGTAGTTCGAGTAGTTGAGTGTAGCATCAATTTGTTTTCACATAAAGAAGCAAAAACAACAAAACGATAAATTTAGTGACTGATCAGGCTTCACAGCCCAGATTAGAATACTGGAATAGAAAAAGAATGATGAAACTTCACCTCAACAATGCAATAAAGCGGAAAAGAGTAAAATCGAACATTAAGTGAAACCAACAAAAAGAAATGAACGATAAACATTTAATTCAGACAAAGCAATGTCAAATCGTGATGGAAACAACAAAAACGAAAATATTCTTCACGATTCTAATATGTATTTCATAATTTTTTTCACACAAGTTCTTTAACATTTTTCATTTAAAAAAAAAATGTTTTCATTTTCTTCTTATTTGAGTATGTGTATCGAATCAAATCACACACAAGCATTGACACATACAGAAATGCAGCATTAACCAATCTGATGAATTAAAATAGAAATAAACAACATTCAACCAAGCCTTAGGATCGTACGTGTGCATCGACGACAAGTTAAATGAAAAAGAAAATGAAACAAATAATTCTCAGGCAACAGAACCACTGCCCAAAAGCTTGAACACAGGCAAATACACATTCACACACACACAAACAGAAATACGAATTTTGGCATTAAACGAAATAAATTATCAATACTAGAACAACCTCAACATCCGAATCGATCAAACAACAAATAGCGACGAAAACAAATTTAAATTGTGTATTACAAGTTTTTGTATGAACATCTTTCTTAATTAATATGTATAATGCTTGCTTTCTGTCCACTAGACATATTCTGGTGGCGGAACCACGGTTGCGAATCAAAATTAATAAACATTCACTCTTCTTTCTTTCATTTTTAAATAAAAACTTTTTACCACATTTTTGATTCATGACAAATATTATGTCTTTCATTTTGAATAAGACGTTGGAAATTTGTAAAATGGGCAAAATGTTATTTGTAAATTTATCTCGTACCTTAAAATGGTGTGTCTTAAACAATATAGAATTTAAATGAAGAAAAAGAAGAAAGAAAAATAAACCGTAATATCAAATTAAGTAGATACTCTCAATATTTCAAGCAAGCAATTAAAAGTTTCAAGAATTTTGAATAAAAGTTCATACATTTTGATGAGATAAGCACAAACCACATTTACATTTAGTGAAATATTTTTTGGTCTTTTGAACTCACAATTACAAATGTGTGCAAAAATGTAAAACAATTGCAAATTAAGTTTTTTTTTTTTTTTTTGAAATCACCCATTGAAATTTGTTCACTGTCATATGTTCAATGTATATGAAAAGACTCAGTTTTTATTTTCAAAAGAGAACGGCAACCAAAAAAAAACTTGCAATAAATTTGTTTTATTTTTTTACGAAAAGAAATATGCTTGGAAAAAAACCCCACTGGACAATTTATTTAAGCAATTACATGTGTGTATGGAACTATTTTCGTGCAAGCACAAAATACATAAATGGCACATATGACACATTTAATCATCAATCACGAAAAAAACATAAACGCAAAATAGCGATGCTTTGAAATATATTATATTCAAAAAATCGAAAGATACCGAATAAAATATTGCAAATTCAAACTGAATTAGTGGCTCTATGCACGTTTTAAATATATAGAACTTAAATGTGTATTTGCACGTTTTAACGTTTACGTTTTGATTTCATTTTAAAAAAAAATATTTTGTTCAGAGTTTCATTTTCTCCAAACGATACGATGCGACCATTGCTATTCCCGACAAATTGCGAAACAACATTCTTACACTCATACGATCAATTTGATATTAGAGATTTTACAAGATTTTTTCACAAAACCAGCCTGACCATCATAATGAAGAATGGCATTATAATTTGAGGGAATAAATAGACGAAACAAACGAGAAATTAAACAATATACAATAAATCGTAAAAATCATTGTCCTATAAATGTGCTGCAATTGCATTTGTACATAAATTTATAAAGTATACCATTTAAGTCACTTGATTATTAATTTACCATGTACACATACGAGAAAATGTTGATGAAAAATGGAACAACAAAAAATCATAATTATTACGAAACCTTATTATGCATAACACAAAAGCAAATTAATACTACAACAACACAATTTTCTTATTTTTATTTTTTATTTTTTGCAAAAACGAATGCATGATCAATTTTTAAACTCATACATTTAACTAGTGGAAAAACGAAATGAAGTACAGATACCTCCGATTCTGTTTGTTTGCTTTATTTTATTTTTAGTCATTGATTTAATATTAATCAATGGCACTATGGTGGAATTTTAAACACTCTTCAAAAATTTTCACAAATTTGTATATGCGCGAAAAAAAAAGAATGCAAATAATTCATCCATATACACTCTTTACTGTTTGAAATATAAAAAAAATCTGTGTGAATAAGTCAAAACTTTTTCAAAAAGTTTTTTTTTATATAAAACAAAATATACATATATATGAGTGCAGCATCTCAAAGCGAAATGTATATCACTTAGCAATACAATCTGTATAGTGTATATGTGTGCAAGTTTTCGTTTTGTCGACTTTTGTTACGAAATAAAGTGGTGTTTTTTTTTATTTAAAAGCATTCCAACACCAACTGTTTTCTACAAACACACACGAAACATAAAAAAATTGTGAAAATTATTGAAAATTATTTGGTTTTCCGCTGTTGGTTGAGAATCAAGAAAGGAAAACAATTATATAAGCGAACACACACTTTTCCATGTGAATAATGTGTTCGATATCGAAAGAGTACCAAAATAATTTTTCTTAAGATTTAGACATAAGAAGAACATCTTACGCCTATGTTCATTTTAAATTCTGATTTTTGCCTTTTATGTCATTTACTTTTTTTTTTCTTTTGCATAAGGACTGAAATTTATGTGTTTAAGTCAACTTATTGATAGAGTATTCATGAACGCCGTTTCGATGAAGATCACGGCATAAAACATGTGTTTAAGAAATATCATAAACGATAAGCGTGACTTTTTTTATTATTTGAAATCAATTGTTTGCAGGAGCGTTTTTGACATTGCATGATTTAACCAATTTGGGAACGAATAATGGAGAGAGAAAACAAAATTAATCAATTAAATGAAAAATTATCATCGTATAAACCATCCACAAAAAAAGAGACTGAAACGCGGCTGCTTTTTGTTAGCAAATGCAAAATTTGGATGGATGACGGCGATAACAGCTTATTTTCATATACCTAAGTCCTAGTCCATATTATCTTCCATCATGCTTACTTATGTGGCTATACGAGGGTATATTTGACAATTAGTCAATGTTTCCTAGCGCTTTTTGAATTCAATCCAAATTTTAGAGTATACATATACACACATTAACTGAACTGAAAAACCCGTGAAATTTAAAACAATCATTTCAAAAAAATAAATGTAAATGCAAAATAAACGAAAAATGGAATGAGAATGAAATGCCTGCCATTGGTGAATTAATTTTATTCGTTTGCGATATGATTTTTGCATTAATCATATTTTTTTTGCTAGTTTTCTTTTTTTTTTTGTTTAAGTGATAAAACTAGCTCAATAGAATTCAAACTAAATTTTAATGACTTACCTTTATTATTTTCTCTAACATTTAATTTGCAAAATGTGAAAATGATGTTTAAAAAAATATATATATATATACATGAAATTGATTATATGACACACATCGACAAAAAAAAGATTGTAATAAAATCCAGAAATGATGGAAGATTGTAGTTCATGTCGTTTTTGATTCTTATGCTGAACAAATTAGTTATTTTTCAGATTTTCTCTAGTATTATGCTTGAATTGTGTGGTTCTTGATGCAATGACAATTACAATTTTTCCTGTCATTTTTTGATTTATATTATAGCATTTTAATTAACAAGCAAACAAAAAATGGAAGAAGAAACAAGAAACTTTCAAATAGATCTCAATCGACTCTAAATCTGATTTAGCATAGATAATAGGGCACCGTTACCCTTTTTTAAATTTCTCATTATTAGCTATTTCTCTCACACCAATATCGAATCCAGAATCACTTATTGTGTTTTCAACATTTAAACGATAAATTGTACATGTTTCAAACAATAGCCACATTCAAATCCACTCTTCATTCATTTTCCTGACTGTAATTTAATCATATATTCTTTTTTTTTTTAATTTAGATTGTCTATATCTAAGTGGATTAAAAGAAAAAAGAACTAACATGCCTAGTAATATCCCAAGCAAAATTGCAAAATTAAACGATAAATAAAAGAATTAAAAAAAATTATTTTTTAAAACTGATTGACGAATTCAAAATTAAACTATTTTTGTTAGAAAAGAAAAAGCAAACGAAAGTGGATCAGTGGATGTAAAGAAAACATTAATAGATATTTTAAAATCGCTATATTTTAAACAACATAGAAAAAATTAGCATTTTTTTCATTTTATTTGACCACTTAGCAAAAATCATATTTTTTGTGAGATTGTGAACATTTATTTTTGGCGCTCAATTCAAATTAATTGGATATAAGTGAATAAATGAAAAAAAAAAACATGAAAGAAAGATATATATACGAAGAAATCAACTTCAAATTAGTACAATACAATGCAAATAACAGTGGTCCTAGTTCCTCTCTTCGAACATTTGTTGGCAAACCATGTGTTGTCCTTTGACAACAAAAGAAAATATATAAAAATATAAAAATTCCGCGTTCTCATAGATAAGCCATACAGAAGATCACAAATTGGCGCCAAAACAAAAAAAAATTAATAAATAATAATAAATGATGCGCATAATTTTGTATTTCCACAATAGGTTTTTACTTAATTATTTTTTAATTCAATCCATGTTAAATCATTAAGGAAAAATTTGATGAAAATGATTCAATGATATGGAATGCTGTAAAACAATATTAGAAAAATCCAATTTTTTTGTAATGCAACAATGTGACAAAAAAATTCATTTTATTAGATGTTTGTAAATAGAAATCATAAGCAACAACAACAACAAAATAAATAATAAAAAACGAAATTTAAACAAAAGGACATATTTGAGCATTTTTATTTTGACACAATATCGAGTCAATCCGAATCAATTTGGAAAATTAACTTGAATTCTTACTGCATATGCATATTTTATCTTGCAAAACCAACCAATATTTTTTGTATGGCGCAAATATCAGGTGATATAAAGCAAAGGTACAAATTTAAAAACAAAATAAGAAAAAGTAAGTCACAACATTAACTTCGATTACTTGAACCACTCCATCTGTAAGATTTATAGAGTACTAGCCGACTTAGCTTGAATTTCGAAAAAACAAGACACAGCTTTTATTCATATACCAACACAATAGAAGTTTTTATCGAATTCACATCAGTCTTGCTCTACCACTCGTCACGTTCACATCGAATAAATCTGTGATCTTACATGGAAAAGCATATCATACAACATACAAAGTTGCACCTGACTAAAAAAACACGTTTCCCATATAAATATGAGCCGATAATTACGTGAATTACACCGGCGTTTTATTCAACAGAAAATGTAAGCAAACTTTGTTTTTTAAATATTAGCAATGTAAGCAAAAACAAAAAATACAATTGATTACGGGGCAACGTATTTTGTGATTTTGAATAATATTGTGAAATTCGATCAGTAAATTTAAATGTGACAAATGCATGTCCAATAAATAACTGCTCCAATTTTTTTATAAGAAAAATAAAATAAAAAAAAATGCAAAATAAACAATTTTTGTACAAACAACTGA